TACATAGGGTCCCCTATAAGTTACTATCACCTGACAGCAACTGACAATGATATAATCACAAAAATAAAGAAAAAGTTAAAGTCATCGTGATGGAGTCAGAACATACTCATAGTTGACTCTCCAGTGAATTTCTAGAGGCTATAAACTGCACTAAAGATTGCCCGTCTTCCTGTAGGAGTCACTGGTGGATTCGAGCTGCCAGAAGCATCACCTCTGGGTCACCAATGACAATGAAGCTGTTCTGAAGACTTTTATATAATAACTCACTTAATCCTCATAATAACTTTGCATTAGGTATCATTACCCTTTTTCTCATACATGAATAAAACAGGTCACAAAAGCAAGCTATATAAGATTAGACAGTAAATGGTAAAGTTTAACTTGAATGTCCATTTGCAAATGCCAAGGCTGTTCATACCCAGATACCAAACTGTATAAATCCAAGAAACATGACAATCATTTTACTCCTCATGGGAGGATCTTCTTTCAGTAGATTAACTGATTCTCAGTACAATACTTCAGATTAATTTGCTATTAACCCTGACCCTACCAACTTCTTGTTGTGTACCATTAAGTAGGAACCGACCCATAGCAGACCCTCCCTCGGGTTTTCAGAAGCAATAAATACCACAGGAAGAGAATGCCTATCTTTCTCCAGCAGAGAAGTGGATATATTCAAACCTCATGCCTTATCTCTATTAACTATAATCTGTTTACACACATTACACAGTAAGAATGTTATATGCATTGCTGTGTAATGTATACACTGTTATACAGTTGAAAAGCAATGATCTCAGAGTTAAGATTTATTGACATAGACTTTTTAACAGTGTCTTGTGTGTTCTTATTTACATTGGGGTTCAGGTAACAGTGAATTCAAAAGCACTGCTTGTTATAAATTCAAAGAAATCAAACCAAATCCTGCCATCAACTTGGTTCTGACTCATGGCAACCCTCTGACATGTTTGAGGTCCTATTGAGACTGCTGCTGATTGTTCAAACCCCCTCTGTGTTAGTAATGCAACTCACTATGGACTACACCATTAAAGCCCCTATTACAAACTCTGCTTCTTCAAAAGGCAACAGCTTAAATGGACATGAAACAAGCTCTCCTCAAAGCTCATGTATATATATAAGCAGCTGTGAAGACAGGGAAACTTCTCTATACTTACCATTCCATCAAATAAATTATCTGTGTTTATTAAAAACCAAGCCCCAGACATGTGCAAAGTCTTTGATACGCCTGCTATGCCTTAAAACTAATTTAAGGCTGTACACACCTCAGCACTAATAGCTCAGAACTAACCCAGCACAAGGTGGGCAGGGCTCTAAGCAGCAAGTGTCAGTATCACACTCAGAAGAAACAGTACAAGCATGTCCAGCCAGCCTCACCACCAAAAACTTTGACTCACTTTAAAACAACTGTGATAGCCAAACAGAACTTGTTACATGGTGAGAACCAGCTGCCATTTTTGCAAAGGATGATTTTAAAATAAAGAGGGGTTTTTTTTTGGGGGGGGGGCTAGGCAGGGAAAAAAAGTGCAACAAGAAATGAATGGAAATCAAAAATCTTTGTTCATTAAAATTATTAAAATAAAATTTAAAAAACAGTTATAAGGACCTTCCACAAGAGCTGACAGAGAGAAAGCCTACCCCCAGAACTAGCACCCTGAATTTAGATAACTAGCCTCTTAAAAAGGAAGGTCTGTTGTTGTTGTTCTAGCCCATCGGGAGTTGCACTGCTAACCCACACGCCAAGCTTCTCTAGCAGTTTGAATCCACCATCAGGCTCTGGGAGAGAAAAAGGGTCAATCTTCTCCCGTCTGATCCACAGCCTTGAAAATACAAAGGAAGATCAGCTATGAGTTTTTCTAACTTGACATCATGAATGAGTTAGATTCTTAAACTGTGAAAAAATATAAATGTTTGTTCGTTAGAGGCAGGTACCAAGCAATCTCAAGAAAATAGTTAAATAATCATTTGCATATTGTAGAAAAAAATTGAAATTAAATTGTTCACCTCAGCTAATGTAAATATGTCATGTAATTGTATTGCAGTTTTCTAATTTGAGTTAAGCTTAGTTATATCAATGGATTTTTTTACCCTGAAATTCAGAAATTATCATAAGTGCTGTTTTTTAAAAATTTTATTATTCTAGTAATTTTCACTATAGGAAATATTTTATTGCCAGATTGCCTTATGCACTCTTTATGCTATGTGTATAAATCTCATAAAATAACTTAAATAAAAAGATAAACAGAACAAAAAAAAACAGTTATATTGTTCTTTACACTATAACCTTCAATTTTAAAAATTCCCACTGAGCTTCTCCATAAAGAGCGTCTAGAATTATAAATTTATACTTTGCTCTTATTTAATAAGGAAGAAAATAAGTCATTAAGTCTTTTTATATCTTTCAAATTTGTAATCTGAGTAACTGCAATAATAAAAGTTGGTTAAAAATAAATCCGAAATTTTGATACCAAAAAAGAAAAATCAATGAAAGTGAGTTGAATCAATATCCTTCCCACAGGGCTAATGCCACACATGCAGCTAGGACATACTGACCCAGAGTGGAAACTGAGGTTAGGAAAGAGAGCAGTGTTTGAAGCCCTAAGACTTACACTGATGCCCAGAGTCCGTGTCCTATCTAACAGTATCTTGCTGAGTTCTGCTCTGATCTGGAGCCTTGACTTCTTTCTAGCCTCCTAGCCTTGCAGGGATGGAGGGGCCTGGGCATCACTCCATGCTTATGCCGCCACCTGCAGGGCAGAACAGTGACAAGTTCCAAACACATATCCCCAATGATTTCAGGCAATACTTCATGACATTCCAATATCTGTCCTTACCCTTTTCAGTATACCAAATCCCTACTGCCATTGAGTTAGTTCTAACTCAAAGCAACCCCCAGGGGAGCTCTGGTGGCCTAGTGGCAAGAAGCTGCACTGCAATCCAAGAGCACACACACACACACACACACACACACACACACAAACACACACTAATAATAATAATGAAAGCAATCCCTGGGGGGAGGGTAGAACCGTATCCCACACAGTGCCAAGACTAGAAATCTTTACTCGAACCGGCTCATCATTCTCTCATGAAGTAGAAGATGGGTTAACAGTCCGGTGCTTAAAGCATTATGCCACCAAGGCACCTCATTCGAGCATAAATCAGTTAAATGGTTCCCCAGCTGGTAAGAGAACTGTTTTGAATCCCCAAGGGGTGCACCTAACTCCTCAGAATTTTGGCAGCTGGAGGCAGAGGCTGCTGCAAAAGCGAAGCACTGGCTACTCCTCCTGTTTCTCCAGGTGTGACCAAGGTCAGCAGCTCAGAATTCTCCAGTGGGCTTCTTAAAAAGGCAGTTCCTTGGCGAGCTCTGGTGTCCTAGTGGCAAGAAGCTGCACTGCAATCCAAGAGGTACATGGTTTGAATCCACCAAATGCTCTGCTGGAGAAGGAAGAACAATCTCCTCCTGTACCAGTCAGATCTGATTTGACCGTACACACACAGAAAAAATAAATTTTTTGTGTTTTGTTTTTTTAAAAAAATCAGTTTCTTGACACCCAACTCAGACCTCTTGAATCAGAATTCTCAAGAAGCATTTTAATAAGTAGCACCAAAACCCAAGACCTAACCCTAAAGTATTTACCTCTACCTCCCATGTTCTTCCTAGTAGAAGGGAGATGTTGTTTTTTGTTGTTAGGTGCCATCGAGTTGAGGACGAATCACACAGACCCTATGAACCAAAGATCTGATCCCTGTTCTGTAACTATCATTGTTTCTGTAATATTCATTAAGAGTTTCCAAAGGCATGCTGTTTAAGAAGTGGATGCCAATCTTGCTTCTAAGCCTAAAAAGAGAAGAATTCTTCTATGCTTCTATTACTTTTACTCTCCACTCAAATAACTGACCTTTCAAATTTATGGAATATTACTGTTTTAAAGATGACAGAAGAAGAATGGATGCCTTTGAATTGTGGTGTTGGAGAAGAGTTCTGAAGATCCCATGGACTGCCAGAAGAATAAACAGATGTCTTAGAGAAGGTGCAGCCAGAGTTCTCCTTGGAGGTAAAGATGATGAAGCTTCTTCTCACATGCTCTGAGCAGGATGTTAGGTTATTCTTCAAATACGGACATTGGAAAGGTGGAGGGATAGCGAAGGAGAGGAAGACTTTCAACCAGATGGACTGACACAGTGACTATGGCAATGGCCTTGAGTGTGTCAGAACTCATGAGGATGGCATAGAAGTGTTCTGATCAGCTGTTCATATGGTCACTATGAGTCATATGAGATATGGCAGCATATAACAACAGTAATCCTTTATTAATTCCTTAATATTTTAGGGTTTTTTTTCCCTTACTGCTACAATTGCAACTATCAAAGCCAACCATCGGGGAATTACAGAAAAATAATTAAATGTCTGGTTACATAATGGGACACAGAACTGCACTTTTATTATCAGCCAACAAATACCAGACAAATCCAGTGTATTCATGTAAAACGAGTTCTAACAAAGCATAGCTCTGTCCTTCTAATACAACCTAGATTTGAGTAATTCAAATCTATAAACCACATGTCTTAAAAGAACAAGATTTACTGCGTGTTGCATTTTACAAATAAAACAATAAACAGGTTATAAAAAAGGTCATCCTTTCTAAATAAGCTGTCCGTTGCCAAAGTCTGTCTATCTGCTTTTGCACCACAATGCAGATGTGAATTTTAAAAATATCTTATTGAGAGGAATTACTTATTTTGGGATGGGGTCATGAACCTCTTTAAATTTTGAGACAACCATGGAATAAGATCTCAACTGTCTTTATAATTTCAGAGGAATGTCCTCAGTTCACAAGATGAGAATGGACTAGTCTATGGTATAGAATAGAATGCAAGATGAATTTCGGACCTCACTGTTGAATTTAACAACCAAGTGGAAAAGGAATGCAAGGACATCAAACTATCAAAGTGATTATGCACCCCAAATTAAGAAAAGTTACCTTTTCAGCGATGCTATAGAGAACCTCATCCATTTTCATACAAGTAGGATCCCAATCGTGTCCAAACCGAATGACCACGACGCGGTCCTCCTCAGACAGAATGGCCTGGTCCACCTGCCAGCCATTGTGTAGATGTGGAAGCATGTAAGACATCTTGAAAACGTGACTGTATCTGACAGAGAGCTCCACTCATCAGTCACTGTCACCTAGTGGCAGAACAAATCACCTTGATTCCATCAAGAAGCTGCAAGCAATGAGCAACGATTTCGAAAAGTATTACAGAATTTGGCAGAGACTAGAGAGCATTAGGCTGAGTAAATAACGAAGTCTCATAAAGACAAATACTGCATAGGACTATTATTATAAAATAGAAATATAACTAGTAAAACGTGTATGGAGGTTCAAGGGGGTAAGGGGTGGGAGCAAAGGGGTGAGGATGGCAGGGGAGAAATCACAGGGTCTCACAATTTGATGTGTGGAGGGAGGGGGGTAAAGAAACGGGAAAGATCTGGCGAGAACCTGAAAAACCAGGGCAATGGTGAGTTTAAGTCAATGCGGATTAATTTTATAACACACAATGTGTAAGAATGTATGAAACACAATGGGTAAGAAGTGTGAAAACAATGCATACGAATTCTGCATACAAACCAACATAAAACAAAAATTTAGAAAAAAAAAAAAAGCAGCTGTTAAAAAAAAAAAAAAAACCACAAAAAACCAAAGCCAACTAAAAAAAAACAAACCAACCTATTGAAAAGCAGCTGTTAAAAAAAAAAAAAAAAAGGCAGCTGTAACCACTTTTCAGATACAATGGCTGACCCGGAATCAGACCCGCACCTCTGCTGGTCCGGTCTCGAGAGCCAGGAAGGCCTGCGACCAGGGGCGAAAATTCCTCCACCTCTAACGGGCCCTGCCGATCTGATCTTCCTCCTTGGTCTCCTCCTCCGTGTCTACACCACTTGGAACACGTCCCCTGTCTTCACTCGGGCTCCTCACTCCCCGGACCTCCACCCGGTGGCCCCAGCTCCGCCTCGCACCCTGCGCCGTCCACTCCCTCCACCCGGCCTCCACCCGGTGCCCCGCGGCTCCACTGCTTCCCCCCGGCTTCCGGACCGCCCGCCTCGGCCCCGGGATCCACACGGACCTCCCAGTGGAAGACTGGTCTTCTACCTAGGAGCCTACGTCCAGCGCGAGGCCCCGCAGCTGGCGCTGCAAGCTCCAGGTGACCGCGCACACGCGCATGCGCGAGTTGCCGCCCCGGGGCGCGCTTGCGCCCCCTCGCGCGTTCCGCACATGCGCAGTCTGACTGCTGTCAGGGGCACGCCCCGGGCGGCGTGAACCGCGCGCAGTGGAGGCGACTCACGGCTGAAGAGCAGGTAATTCAGACCTTGAGGGGAGCTGTGTCAGAGACAGCGAGGTTGGCTCAGGATAAAGCAGGATTCAGAGCTGTTGTGCTATGAGTCGTGGTCGACTCGATGTCACGTAACAGTAACAAACACACAGGAGGAGATTGCCCTTCCTTCTCCTGTGGAGCAGCTAATAGATTCGAACCGCTTGTCTTTGGGATTGCAGCACAGCTTCTTAGCACTAGGCCACCAAAGCGCCCAATTAGACATTGGGAGATAAGAATCAATGAAAGCTACAGTCAGAAACACAGTGCTGTCCTGCACTTCATTTCCTTTCAATTCCCTGCACATATATACCGCAGAGGAGGGGATTAAAGCAAAAGGGAGCTTCTGATAGTCTAGTGCGTTGCTCCTTGGAAGCTAAGATTTTTGAAGCTTGGCCTCGCCTACTTTGGGCATGTTGCCAGGAGGAACCAGTCTTTGGAGAAGAACATCGTGCTTGGAAGGGTGCAGGGTCAAGACAGGAGAGGAAGACTCTGATGAGATGGATTGACACCGTGACAGGGGCAATGGGGGTAGGCGTGTAGGAGACAGTGAGATTAGGTCAAGAGAGGACTGGGAAGGGATAGATTGATTCAGTGACTGGGGTAATGAGAGTAGATGTGTCAGAGACAGTAAGATTGGCACAGCATAGAGCAGGGTGTAGGGCTGTTGTACATACGGGATCATTATGAGGCGGAAATGACTCATGGCACATAACAACAAGACTGGGTTCAGAGCGATTGTTCATAGGGGTCGCTATGAGTCACAGGCAACTCAAAGGCACATAACAAGAACAGTATCAAATAGGCTCAGAAAATGGCTAGCAAAAAGCTCCTTGTGTGCAATAATGAATGAATGAAAATCCAACTTTTCTGTTAACTTTCTTTTTTTTTTATCCTCCTATTCCTTTTTTTTCCCCTATATTTTATTAATTTTCATAAACATTTACAGAGATTTTGGGTTTCCATTCATTCATTGTTGCACTTAACTTTCACTAAGATCCTAATAAAGTACATTAAATTTTTTTGGACCTAAAATTTTTTTTTAAAAAAAGAAAGCTTTTTTAAACAAGGTTTTGTTTTATTATTTTTGTGTGCATCGTCAAATCGTATCTGCCTGATACAGGAAGAGATTGCCCCTCCTTTTCCAGCAGAGCATGTGGTGGATTCAAACTGCCTATCTCTGGGATTGCAGTGCAGCTTCTTGCCACTGTTGTTGTTGTTGTTATGCGCCTTCGAGTCGCTTGCGACTCATAGTGACCCTATGTACAACAGCCCTAAACTCCGCTCTGTCCTGTGCCAATCG